CATTTTTCTCCCCCCCCCCCCCCCCCCCCCCCCCCCAAAAAAAAAAAAAAAGCCCCTTTAGGATAGAATTGTGGTTCCATCATTGAGGCTGTGTTAAGGATCCATGACTGAAACTATATAGTACTATAGCACTTTTCTTACACTGCACTGAACTTTCTTTCTACAATCTCTCACCTGAGAAATTTTTCTGTGACTTGAATATTGTTATTGCTAGGTAGTTCGAGGAAAGGAAGCAATCACATCATTAATAGCATGAAGCTTGCGAAAGTTAATGGAGCTGTACTTTCTATAAATATTTGCCACAATGCAAAACATCTTGCTGTTGGGTCTGATCAAGGATATGTAATCTTTTCTTCTTTTTCTCCTAGTTTCATACTGAAACTTAACTATTTTATTGACTGGTTCAGATTTCAAAACCTATGGAACTTGGACACTTTCACTGGTTTAAAATACAATCTAATATAGTAGCCACTATAAGAACATCACACACTCACTGAAGTATTCATTTTCGTAAATAAGGGAGGATAGTTAATATATTAGAGCTGAAAGGACATTGAACCACCTAAGAACATTGTTTAACAGAAGCTTTCCAGGGTTGATCTTGAATAGTAGCAGTAAGGTTTCTTAATCAAGAAATGGAGTTTAGAATGAATGCTCTAGTAAATATTCTTTTTGGAAACCATATTTTACTTACACTAAGATCAAACAATCACAGTTTCATGTTTAATCTAAAAGTCAGGAGAAACACTTAGACATGTTTGTGAAATTATATCAGCAATTGAGAGTGCCATCAGATTATTTTGACTTGGTCAAACGACTAGTTTTGGTTTGATATTCAGGTTGTAATAAAAAGTTTAGTCCCATAATTAACATGTGTGAGCTCTTTTTGCATACAGGTTTCAGTAATCGATATGGAGGGACTCACTCTAGTATATCAAAAGCATATATCTAGTGAACTGTGTACAGGCATCATCTCTATGCATTTTGAAACCTGCAGCTTCCATGGTTTTGAGAAGAATGTTTTACTGGTGGCGACCAAGGATTCATCAGTTTTGGCACTTGAGACTGATACAGGAAACACACTAAGTTCTAGCATGGTCTGCCCTAAGAAACCCTCTAGAGCATTATTCTTGCAGATTCTTGGTAATAACTTTTTAAGGTTCTTTTATATTGATGTCTTGGAGGATACTAGTTGTGGTATAAATACAAGTTAACAGAGAGAAACATCTGATTTGGTTGCACTTTACAGATGGACAGGATACATCCGGTAGTGGATCTAATGTGTCAGACAGCCTGGACTTGATCAAGGGTAACTGTGTTGACGCTGCCATTCCAAAGCAATCATTGCTACTACTATGTTCTGAAAAAGCTGCTTATGTCTATTCCTTGCCACATGTAGTTCAGGTAAATGTGGCACCTGGTTTATCCGATGTGTGTAGTTTTCGGTGATTAGGTGTATCCAGAGTTTACATTATAGCCTTACTCTAAAGGGCTCATGGTGGGGACCGTTCTGTGGCATAAAAAAAAACAACAAAAAAATGCCATTTGGACATAAGCAGAACTGCTATGATTGATATCAATGAATTCCTTTCTTTTTGCTCAGGGTGTTAAGAAGGTGTACTATAAAAAGAAGTTTAACTCTTCTTCTTGTTGCTGGGCATCGACATTCTACACTCCTGATGTTGGTCTTATACTCCTCTTCTCGACTGGAAAAATACAGATAAGGTCAGGTTTATATGCTTTCTGATAACGACGAACTGTAATCATAAGGACTGCACCTTGATTGTTGAAACTGTATGATTCACAGATAAACAAAACGGGTTACTTAACTTATCATCTGGCTGTCACATATATACCCTTTTATGTTTCAGAGTGATATAGGGCACCGTTCCCAATATTGTTTATAATTGTTCTGGGAAGTTTGTTCTCAGTACATTACTGTGTTCTAGAGGCAGGTACAATCTCCTCATCATCACCTGTATCATGTTCTATTTCATGTTTTACAACTTCCCTTAATTTATGAAAGCATCATATCCATGTTAGGTCCACCATTTGATGAAATAATACGGAGCCTCAATCACAATAAGAATTCTTCAAGTAACTTTGACCGCAAGAAAATAATTCTCAGTTGTGTTCTTGGACTGAAGAAATTTAGGTGTTAGATGATGAAGTTGAATTATATGTATTATTTGAAGTACTTTTTCCTTATTTAAAGTGCTTTTTCCTTATGCAAGTACTTGCCAATGTTCAGTGAACAAAGAAGGAACCAAAGCATTTAATGAAGGATGAAAACTATGTTTGCAGAATTCTATTTGCTTAGTAGCTGTTATGTAGTTAGTTGTGCACCAAGAGGCTGATTTAATGGGCATCCTTCCTAATACCAGTTTGTTAATTTTCAGATCCTTGCCAGAATTGTCCCTTTTGAAAGAAACTTCAATAAGAGGCCTCTCATTATTGAGTTCAAAACCGAACTCAAATCCTGATAGTTCAATATGCTCTTCCCTGAATGGAGAAATTATTATGGTAAAATGGTAACGTAGTAATTTTAAGTATGCTTTCCAGGATTACTTTACTGGAATGCTGATATGAACTGCAAAATCCGTGGGGTGCAGGTGAATGGCGATCAGGAAGTCTTTTTTGTCTCAGTTTTGCTCGAAAAGGGGATATATAGGTAAATGACCAATTAGATGATGCATTTCTTTTCTTGGTCTTTCTCATAATTATGGATCCACCCTCATATTCACGCGTTACTGCATGGTACATATTTTTGTGAGCTTTCTTTCACCATTTTCTGGTAGTCCTTTTTATAGTTTGTATGTGCACAGTCTGGGTTGTCTGGTTTTTTTTACATTAGGAGAACTGTATCTAACTGGTGGAAGTAAATTTTTTACTTATTATTATGATTTTGTCGCATTGCCTGTGTTTTCCTCCATCCTAGGCATCTGGACTCGGTTTGTCAAGTTTATATGAAAGATTTGATGGTTTCACTAGGGCTTAACCAGGAACCTATCATCCATAAAGAAAAGAAAAAGGTATATGGTGCATTGAATTTCTTAACTTCCTGACTACATATTTTTCCTGACATGGTTCTATTAACTGATCTGGAACAACAGGGTCTATTTAGCTCGGTTATCAAAGATTTAAAAGGATCTAAAGCAAAGTATGATCCTGATACCGAAGCTGAAGATGCAAGAGAAAGCATTGAAGAACTGTCTACAATCTTTTCAGTCGCTAACTTCCCATTGTATGTGGAAAGAAGGGAGAACCTTTCCACAGATGAAGATAATGTTGAACTGGATATAGGTGTCTCATCATGCCCATTTCCAACCATTCTTTTTTCCCTTTCTAAGGAAAAAATATGATGAAAATTTGCTCTCATTTCTTGTTCAATCATGTTTCGTGAAAAAAATGAAGGTGCCTTTTGCTGGATATACTATATATCCCTTCTAACTTCAGAGAAGCTATGGTCTTTCAGAACAATTCTTGGATGTTTAGCCCTAGTCATGAAGCCTGACTGCACATGCCTTACCTACTATAGTTTCTTCATTTGAGACATTATGCTGAATAGATTGTTAAGACAGCCAATCACATTTAAATTATTTTTATTTTTCTCCAGATGATATTGACATCGAAGATCCTGGAGAGAATCAAAAAGGAAAGACTATGATGGCAGCTTTAAACAAGCAGAAACTCACAAGTACATTTCAGGCATTTAAAGGTCAGTTTAAACCTTGATAAACATTAAACAATATCATCTGCAAGAATAGAATCCGTCTCTATCTTATTTCTTACTGTACCAGCTTGTTTTGAGACGTATGGTTGGGTAAATATGTGAATCAACAGCTTCTTCTTATTCTTTAATCTGGCTAAGAAATTTTCTTATCGACTGCGGTTTGTGAAAATTATTGACTCGAAGTAACACAAACTTGTTCCAAGATGTCTTCCTTTGAGACATGAACAATTTACTGCCTTAGCATTAGCTAAGTTATGTTCAGATTGGGAACAGACATCACTATTTTCAATCCTGGCTTGAGCATATAACTTGTCAGCAAAATGAGATGTCTAGATTTCAATGAACTGATGGATCCGCCAATCTTATGAAACAACACTGCACCAGATAGAAAACAGAAGTGGATATGAACTTTAGTTTTCAAATTTTAGTGATCAGGACCAGCCTTTAGATTTTCCTAGTTCAAGTAAACCTGCTTTGACTATTGAATTCACGTTGTAAAGGCCTACTTCTGCACTGGTCTTGATGTTTAAGATACTTGTATGTTAGAACATTTTTTTATAGCTGAAGAAGTCCAGGTAGGAGGATTTATTCCAGACTATATGGAGGTGGTCCTGCCTTCTGCCCTCTTATATATTTATATTTTTCCCTTTTGTGGGTTTCTGCTTCCAATATGTGTGACAAAACCCAAGGTTAATTTTAAGAAATGAGGTAGAACATGAAATCGGGGTTGAGCAGGTGTTGTAAACATGACATAAACATGCAAATAGAGATTGAGCAGGTATTTTAGGCAGTGGACCACTTTGCTCCGAGGACAATTGACGATGTGATCAAGGATCAAAATTTAGTTTCGGTGAATTATTTCGGTCATTTAGGAAATAGAAATATTTCGTAAACACAATAGAAACTGATAAAAATTTGAGAATCTATTTTCAAAATATTTTGAAACATTTGTCGAAATATGCCGAAATATTCTAAAACACCTTGAAACATTCCGAAACATTGGTGGAAACGTGTCGAAATAACTCAAAGCATTGTAATGTTTATTCGATCATTGATTCGTTTCAATATCATTGAAAATACAAATGTATTGAAAATACAAATGTTTCTGCATGTGACTTAACCTTAGTGAGCTGAAAAGGCTGAATGGGGAATGCCAAGATCACAGAAAATGTGGCACCTAAGTAGTCACCAAATGTGCTATGACTTTGAACTTAAGTCTCATGAAAAGTAGTTCAAAATGTCAGCGAGGTCATTATTTGAAGAAAATTTCTGCTCAGCAATTATCAATGAGAATATATATTTATTTACAGTCCAATTTTTAGAACTTGCCACCAGAAGAGCCTGCACATGCAAATACGAGTCAGCTGGTATGGAGTGCTTAAAGTTGGCTTAGCTGGTTGGAAATATCAAGCAATTCAATACCAATTGAGCTAGATCCAGATCTATACAATAAAAAGTTGCTAATTACCTGGGAGTAGTCAACAGGGGTAAAAGTTTGGTTTCTTTTGTATTAAACAACCATCTACTCCAAAAGTTTAAGTTGTGGGAGAGCGCGTAACTTAAATATTTATACTTTAACACGCCCCCTCACTTATAGGCTAAATTTGGGCTTAGTATGTGAAAATCTTTTAATAATTAGGATAGCGGCGAGATTCAAACATATGACCTGCTTTGATACCATGTTAAACAATCATCTATTTCAAAGCCTTAAGCTGTTGGAGATGGTGTTATTTAAGTATTTATACTTCAAGAGTTTCCTCTGAAACGACAAACATGGTTCAGTTTCCATGGAACTTGTGAATAAATATTAAGATTCTATGTTTTAAGGTGTTTCGGAATTTCGGAACGTTTCGATAAGTTTTGACCAATGTTTTGAAAACATATGTCCAAATTTGTCCTCCATTTTCATTATATTTTCAAAACACTTATGAAACGGTTTCGTTTTCAAGGTGACCGAAACTTTTCATTGAAACGAAATTCTGATTCGTGGTGGTTAATCATTTCCTGTTCTAGNAAACATGCAAATAGAGATTGAGCAGGTATTTTAGGCAGTGGACCACTTTGCTCCGAGGACAATTGACGATGTGATCAAGGATCAAAATTTAGTTTCGGTGAATTATTTCGGTCATTTAGGAAATAGAAATATTTCGTAAACACAATAGAAACTGATAAAAATTTGAGAATCTATTTTCAAAATATTTTGAAACATTTGTCGAAATATGCCGAAATATTCTAAAACACCTTGAAACATTCCGAAACATTGGTGGAAACGTGTCGAAATAACTCAAAGCATTGTAATGTTTATTCGATCATTGATTCGTTTCAATATCATTGAAAATACAAATGTATTGAAAATACAAATGTTTCTGCATGTGACTTAACCTTAGTGAGCTGAAAAGGCTGAATGGGGAATGCCAAGATCACAGAAAATGTGGCACCTAAGTAGTCACCAAATGTGCTATGACTTTGAACTTAAGTCTCATGAAAAGTAGTTCAAAATGTCAGCGAGGTCATTATTTGAAGAAAATTTCTGCTCAGCAATTATCAATGAGAATATATATTTATTTACAGTCCAATTTTTAGAACTTGCCACCAGAAGAGCCTGCACATGCAAATACGAGTCAGCTGGTATGGAGTGCTTAAAGTTGGCTTAGCTGGTTGGAAATATCAAGCAATTCAATACCAATTGAGCTAGATCCAGATCTATACAATAAAAAGTTGCTAATTACCTGGGAGTAGTCAACAGGGGTAAAAGTTTGGTTTCTTTTGTATTAAACAACCATCTACTCCAAAAGTTTAAGTTGTGGGAGAGCGCGTAACTTAAATATTTATACTTTAACACGCCCCCTCACTTATAGGCTAAATTTGGGCTTAGTATGTGAAAATCTTTTAATAATTAGGATAGCGGCGAGATTCAAACATATGACCTGCTTTGATACCATGTTAAACAATCATCTATTTCAAAGCCTTAAGCTGTTGGAGATGGTGTTATTTAAGTATTTATACTTCAAGAGTTTCCTCTGAAACGACAAACATGGTTCAGTTTCCATGGAACTTGTGAATAAATATTAAGATTCTATGTTTTAAGGTGTTTCGGAATTTCGGAACGTTTCGATAAGTTTTGACCAATGTTTTGAAAACATATGTCCAAATTTGTCCTCCATTTTCATTATATTTTCAAAACACTTATGAAACGGTTTCGTTTTCAAGGTGACCGAAACTTTTCATTGAAACGAAATTCTGATTCGTGGTGGTTAATCATTTCCTGTTCTAGATGCAAGACGACATAAGCTTGAAGCAGCAACCCCATCTTACACTACTTTTGGTATCCTATGAAATAAATTAGTGAACACTCACCTGATCACTTCAACTTGCAGAAAGTGAAGATGATGTTATCTAATCACCTAATATTAATTTCCTATATTCACTTGACCCGCTCTTTTAACAGCAAATCTTTCTATATTTTTCCTGTTCAAGGATGTGTTAGTGAGGTGATGGGGGCATATGTGTTACTGTCTGAGCACCTTATAGGAACCCCAGTCTGCTGGGGAGGGCTAAGTGCTTGAGTACGTTGATGAAAAAATAATATAGATGCTGAACTAGATAATATATTCATTTTTCAGGTAAATTGAAACAGATGAAGGTCAAAAATGAGAAGTCTCCCGTGAAGGAAGAGCCAGTGGATGAGAAGGCTGGTGCAGTCGATCAGATCAAGAAAAAATATGGGCACACTTTGTCTGGTGTAAGTATGCATCTAATAGACCAATTTTTTAGTCCTATCTACTGGACTAGGCATCTACGACAGGCAAGGATTATCTATGCTTCTTAGAATGCAAATGATTTACCACTTTACCTAGAATAAGAATTGTTCATCTGTTTTTTCAGAATGTGGTTGCAAGCACTAACCTTTGAAATTATTACTGACCAAGAAACGAATTTTCAAACTTGAATGAGGTTTAACCTGAATGTTTTTGCTCTTGTATAGCTCAACTTCAACAAGATGAGCTATACCAATATGGTCAAAATAAAGACTGCTTCATATATGCATGCACGATAATGACATGAATTATTCAGCTGATGAACTCGTGCACCTAGCAGGAGCAAAGTATGATGATGAACTTAAATTTTTTTTCATGTATATGTACATGCTTATGGTTCAGGCTAGAGTGAAAGATTTACCATGATTGCGAAGGCTCAAGCCAATATTTAATGTTTTGCTTGCCATGACGGTCATCATGTATTGTAATTGTTGTCCTAAATTTGTTATATCTGATTATTAAGAGTGTAAAACAAAAATATAATGTGAGTTAATATTATTGGTAGGTGAAGGTGTCAGTAGAAGGTGCTGCTCTGTCGAGTGTATATTCATATATCTGAAGTTATTCCTCTGTGAGCTGCTGTTATGACTTCAAAACCCAATTGCCTTTATGAATTTATGAAACCACAAACCGAGGATAGGGTCTTTGTCATAAACAGGAATGTGGAGCTCACTATAAATATTTCTTTTCCATTTTTGGGTGCAGGAATCAAGCATTGCCAAAATGACACAAAGCAAGCTGAATGAGAATTTGAAGAAGCTAAAGGTATCTTTGAAAATCTTCACTTTAAACTTCCCCTGCCAATCTTAATTGCACCGAGAATGACCAGATTCAATGGTGAAACAATCTTTTCTATAAATACCAAAGCTAAACTAAGGAGGAGGGATTGATCGTTTACTACTCTTCCACCTTTTTTCTTCTCCACCCTTAGAAACTAGGGTTTTGTTCTTTAAGTTTTCTACATGTTCTTCGTTTCTTTTTCTTTATATTTCCTAAGAATTGTTAATAAGGGGATCATTTAATACCACTGAACTGAGTCATGAAAGATTCTGTTTGCAGAATGATTAGAGTCTCTTGAGAATTTTAGATGATCCCCTTATTTACTTGAGTGATCTTTTTTGATGTTGCTGGTGTGTATGGCTGTGAATGGAATTGTAGATGTGTTCATATTGTTGGCTTTATATATATCCTGAGGTTTTTGCTTGATTGGACAGGGCATCAGCTTGAGAACTACAGAGATGCAAGACACTGCTCAATCATTCTCCTCTCTGGCTAAAGAGGTCTTGCAATCTGTTGAGCATGATAAACGAGACCCGTGATCCCCAATGAATGTACACAAAACATCAATGTATGAACGTGGCCATTTGATCATTCATTTCTTTATGCGTTTGTTTTGTCTTGTTCTTTTGTATGTATATTTTCGGCCATGAAAAATGGCAAGCCAAATATATATGGCACTGACTCTGCAGAACAGTTTTGCCAAGGATGGGAAAGGAACAGTTATTGATTTTTTGTTATGAACTGACGGGTAGAACTTGTCATTGAAAATTGGCTTGCAAGGAAAGGGTGCCCAAGAGTTCATATATACACATATAGTCTTATTTTTAACTAGATGTGAAATTGTAATATTCCACCACGTTTTCGTAGTTGACGTCCATGGCGGCTCATTCTATTGACATCGACTCAAAGGTAGTCTTTTCTTTTGACAGCTTCACTCACCTATCAGTATTCAATGAAATAACAATATATTCATACATAATACCAAGTCATTTTAAGCCGATCTATAGGTTGCCCTTTCCGCGAGTCGACCATATAGAGCCGCAGCTTACACTACATTCGATCCCATACTCAACATGGTGGCTAGCTTTGACACTAATTGATAAGACCAGGAAGAAAAATGTAGAAGAATAAGCAAAACTCCCACTATTAGGGGGAAGTCCTCTGTTATTGAAATTCAAAAGAATACAAATTTTTGTTGTGATCACCTACCCACAGAGACTCTAAATAAATATAGAAAAATAGCTTCATCAACTCCTAATCATAAACCATTGTCAACTCCCAGAATCTAGCCAATCAATTGTCATTAATTGCAGTAGAAATCCGACAAATTGTGATGTGATTTATTGCATGATCTTTTCCTTCCAAATTGCCCTTCCAGCTCCTCCTGTCAACTGGATCCCCTCGGCTTACTTCTCATAGCTCAGGCTACTATTTGTCTTAGCTTCAACTATCAGCTCAGCAACACTCTCATCTCACTCTCACATTTGTTGTCATTACTGTGGCCCATATTTAAGTTGCATCTTTTAGCTGACTATACTATTTTAGGAGCAGCATGATTAGGATTTATTTTCCTTCATTTATTAAGTGCTAAGCATGCATTTTGCTCTCTTTTAATTTTATTCTATGTAATTAGATTGCATTGAAGGGTAAAAAAAAAAATATTGCNGCTAAAGAGGTCTTGCAATCTGTTGAGCATGATAAACGAGACCCGTGATCCCCAATGAATGTACACAAAACATCAATGTATGAACGTGGCCATTTGATCATTCATTTCTTTATGCGTTTGTTTTGTCTTGTTCTTTTGTATGTATATTTTCGGCCATGAAAAATGGCAAGCCAAATATATATGGCACTGACTCTGCAGAACAGTTTTGCCAAGGATGGGAAAGGAACAGTTATTGATTTTTTGTTATGAACTGACGGGTAGAACTTGTCATTGAAAATTGGCTTGCAAGGAAAGGGTGCCCAAGAGTTCATATATACACATATAGTCTTATTTTTAACTAGATGTGAAATTGTAATATTCCACCACGTTTTCGTAGTTGACGTCCATGGCGGCTCATTCTATTGACATCGACTCAAAGGTAGTCTTTTCTTTTGACAGCTTCACTCACCTATCAGTATTCAATGAAATAACAATATATTCATACATAATACCAAGTCATTTTAAGCCGATCTATAGGTTGCCCTTTCCGCGAGTCGACCATATAGAGCCGCAGCTTACACTACATTCGATCCCATACTCAACATGGTGGCTAGCTTTGACACTAATTGATAAGACCAGGAAGAAAAATGTAGAAGAATAAGCAAAACTCCCACTATTAGGGGGAAGTCCTCTGTTATTGAAATTCAAAAGAATACAAATTTTTGTTGTGATCACCTACCCACAGAGACTCTAAATAAATATAGAAAAATAGCTTCATCAACTCCTAATCATAAACCATTGTCAACTCCCAGAATCTAGCCAATCAATTGTCATTAATTGCAGTAGAAATCCGACAAATTGTGATGTGATTTATTGCATGATCTTTTCCTTCCAAATTGCCCTTCCAGCTCCTCCTGTCAACTGGATCCCCTCGGCTTACTTCTCATAGCTCAGGCTACTATTTGTCTTAGCTTCAACTATCAGCTCAGCAACACTCTCATCTCACTCTCACATTTGTTGTCATTACTGTGGCCCATATTTAAGTTGCATCTTTTAGCTGACTATACTATTTTAGGAGCAGCATGATTAGGATTTATTTTCCTTCATTTATTAAGTGCTAAGCATGCATTTTGCTCTCTTTTAATTTTATTCTATGTAATTAGATTGCATTGAAGGGTAAAAAAAAAAATATTGCCCTTCTAGTTTTTTAGATCGTCCCATAACAATCCATACCCCCCCCCCCCCTAAAATAGGCCTTGTCCTTCAGGTCGAAATGTTGGAAAATGTTGCTCAATATCATGCCAATATTCCCAAGTGGTGTCTTCAGGGAAGTTGTTGGTCCAATGAATTCGTACTTGTGTGACAGCCTAATTATTCCTCTTAACTAGCCATCGGTCTAATATTGCTAATGGTTCAAGTTTCATCTGACCATCGTCATCTATTAGGGGTAGCCCCGTATGGACAAGCAATATATGTTCCCCAAGTTTTTTCTTAAGGTACGAAACATGAAACACAAGATGGATGGAGATTGTCATTGAGAGTTGCAATTGATAGGTGACTTGACCCACTCGTTCTAATACCGGAAAGGGTTGGGGGCAGGTTCTTGTTTTCTCTCCATGCTAAGGATGTTTGGGTTTGAATCGGTTCTCTCTAATCTCCAAACATGACCCCGAATTGTGTGTATATGGCTTATAGAAATTGGTGAGTGTAACTCTCCCTCGAGTTCAATGCAAGAAATGGGAAAAATTGTGTGGATGAACAAAAACGAGTGTGTGTATGCGTAAAAGTGCTCACCAAGCGTAGAGAGACTTGCAATGTTGTGTTTTACTTGGAATGGGTATTCCAAGATCGTCTCTTCAAGGAAAGAAATGCTAAATGTTTCGGAAGGTGATTTGTGAAAAAATGAAAATTGAAAAATCTTGTAATTTGTGTTTTGAAGAATTGTGTATTGATGAAAATTCAAGAAAGCAAGATTGACTAATCCATAGAGGTCATTCCAATAGGAATGCAAAATCGACTCAATTCATTAATCCATTGGTGTTTGTTTCTTTAATTGATTCGTAAGAAGTGAGAGACTAATGTGGGTGTGTTGGGCAAAAGCATATCCCGTGACAAGTCTATGGTGTATCAAGAGCCCACAACCATGTCCGCACTCAACTTAGTCAACCCAAACACTTTACACTACAAGAAAGAATGAAAGAGAGTCAATTTCAGATACCCAAGAGAAAATTTCCCTTAGATTAACCAACTAAAAGTCTAGCTACTCGTAGTAAAAGTAAGAACAAATATAACGTAAAGAGACATGGTAATGAAATGAAGCATGAACTTGAATTGATGCAAGAAAAGATTTAAACTACAAGAGTGAAGTCATTCACAAGCAAATTACAAAGCTTGAAGAGGAAAATACCCAAATGTAGAAATGGAAATGCTAAACTACTTCACTAAGCTTGATTACAACTTAAATAAAAGAGTTTAGAGTGCAAGAGGGACAGATTACAAGTAAAATAAAGCTCACTACAATGAAAATGGTGAAGGAAATGTAAAAATCTATCTTTCTCTCTCTAAAACTTCATCATCTACCTTGGAGCTTCTCTCTCTAAAAGCATGTGTAAAAATTGAAAATGGTGTAAGCCTTAGTAAATTTCATCCATCCCCCTTCCCTTGCCCTGTGTGAACTGAGTTGTAATGAGTGGGGAGAGATTGGACATTAGAACAAGCAAAACCAGGCCAAGCATGCTTTTCCCATATTTTCCCAACCACCCCTCTTCTCTCTCTTGCTTCCCCTCTCTCTCACTTGAAATCTAACTTTAGGGGTTAGGAGAGCATCATGGGGTGTCAAATATGTCATGGTATAGTTTGGAGGTCAAGAGGTGGGCCCCTAGAGTAGGTGGAGTCGTGCGGGGAAGTGTCTGGGCAAGTTCTAGCGGTAGAACGTCAAAAACCTACCGGAAGATATTTTCCAGTACAGTCTTTTACCGATAGGTTTTGCATGTCTTCTACTAATAGGTCTTTTCGTAAATTTGTCATAACTTTTGATACCACTATCCAATTGGGCTGATATTTTGACAAAAGACAGAGAACATCCAGATCTACAACTTTCACATGTTGCAATTTTTCAGATATGAATTGGATCAGGGTAAAAAATGGGGAATATCGAGGTACTGATACCAAATGGTGCCGGTATTGGTACCAAAACTCTAGTAGGCTTACACACCGGTACCTATGATATCAAGTATCGCTATCTCCTTGATTTCTTTCACTTTAAAGCATCCTAATCCTCATGTAATGTGTCCAACTCTTCAACACTCATCCACACTTAGTTGCAGGGTTCTAAAAGCCATCATTTACCCTATGATTACCTACAACATCAAAATTTTCATATTATTCATAAATTCAACTAACTCTTAAGTAATTAAATGTAAAGTTGAGTTAAAATGCATGCAATGAGGCCGTTAAATATGTAATATTATGCGCTCATCAGTTTGCTGAAAGGTTTGCAGTCGGAGATAGACTAGGTCCCCAACCTTGAATGTTCGTTTTGCATCAGCAACTTGTTTCATTCTATGTTGAGACTTTTGTAGATTGTCCTTGAGGAACCAAATGATTCTATCACACTCCCTTAGGCTATTGTCTACTATTGCTACATTTGATTCCCCATGCACATAGGGGGAGTAAGTAGGGGTGGGGTACAATAAATAACTTCGAAAGGAGTTGTCTTGGTGGAAGTGTGAAAATTTGTATTGGATCACTACTCGACCAAAGGTAACCATTTAGCCCATTTCTTGGGACGGTCCCTTATCATACAACAAAGATTCCGCTCCAAACAGTGATTCACAACTTCAGTTTGCTCGTCAATTTGCGGGTAATAGGGAATACAAATGTATAATTAGGTTCCATATATCTTAAACAATCCTTACCTGAAGTTACAAGTGAATACCAGATCATGATCACTCACAATGGTACTTGGGAGTCCATGCAGCTTGAATATATTGTCTATGAAGGTTTGAGCAACATCTAAGGCAGCATATGGATGATGAAGTTCCGTGAAATGGGAGTTTTTACTTAGCCGATCTAGCACCACAAAAATCACATCCTTCACATATGAACGAGGAAGTCCCTCAATGAAATCCATAGATATGTCACTCCAAGGTCAATCCG